AAGTTCAAGAACAAATTGTCAAATTAAGCTTACAGATTTAAAACTGGGTGTGTCTTTCAAATATCTAAATTTTACTTAAGCGAAAGATAATTTGTAACAACTTGGTTAATTTTTGGCCCATACCATTGTACTTAAGTAGTAAAACATAGGAAATTTTTAAAGAGGAACAACAGATACAGAGACGGATGAATAGCCACAGGACAACGGATGATCCATGAAGCTCACTTTAGTTTGCAGCTCAGGTAAGCCATCAATATCAAAGACAAGAATTATTATCCATATTTTGCCCACAGTCATCAACAAAAATAAAACCCAATTCATTTTGTATAACTGTAACCAATCTTATAACCTAATAGGTCAGAAGTCTTTTTTTTTATTTCTGAAATATGGCAGTACTTGTACATTCTCATGATATGTTGGAGATATCTTTATTCTTTTTATAATTTACATTTGTTTAAGATAGAATACTTACATCTGTAGATTTTTTCTCCGTGTGTGTGGCAACAAGAAACACTGGTGCCTTTTTGCCTCCAAAAGTCTTGATTGAGGTAATCCAAAACTTCAGGTAGTCTAAAAGAAACAAAGGTATAATGGATCAAATAAAGCGTAATGATAAAACTAGAATTCTCTAATGAGACTGTTACAAGCCTTATTGGTTAGTGCTAAGAGCAAAGGGAAAGGTAGCACTTTGATTTAAATTTTTGCAAAGCAGTAAATAGAATGTATATGTTTAGGTGTATAATCTGCACGTGTGCCATGTTATATTGAAATCAGACCAAAACTGTAAGAGAAGTAGCATTTCGAAAATATTTCACAGAAATTCCTATTTTTAGTAGCCATTGCAACACTGATAATTGAAATCAGAATCCCATATTAAGAATTATGTATCTTAGTGCAGTCTACTTGTATGCCAAGTTATACTGTAATCAGCGAAAATCTCAGGGAGGAGTAGTGTTTAGAATTTTTTTTACAGACCGACGACGAAGTAGACAGACAGGCACACAGATGACGGATACCTTACTTTTGCATAATATCTTTCGGTCTCTGATCAGTAAAGCTAAAAAACTACATACAGGTGTGTCTGATAAGAGTAAGCTCTACAGCCTTTTACTTACAACCATGAAAAAAATGTTGTATCAGAACTTCATCATTTTTTTACACTACTCTAACAGAATTAAACGAAATAATTATTGTTTCCTAAACATAAAGTTATTCAAAAAAGAAATAAATATGAACTGTAAATTTTTGACATAATACTTCCTTTAGTATCTACGGGATTTTTTTTTCTACGATATCTGAATTGAAGAAAAAATATATCATGATGTAGTGTACTTTGGTACGGTAGGCAGTGTATTGGGAGAAGTTTAGTCAGTTTCAATGAAACACCCTCTGTAAACAGATTCATTATTCCCGGCTACTGACCACCAATTCATGTGTCAGATTCAAAGAAACAAACCGATACCTGCCACAAATGATTGTATTAAACAGATACAATTATATGCCTTTGCTTGGGATTGATCTCTGGGCCTCTGACATGCCAGACCAGTGCTCTTCCAACTGAGCTCAAGGGTTTACCCACTAGCCCAAGATAGTAGGAAGCTGTGTACATGTATCTAACACTACCACATGAACACATACATGTATGAGATAAATTTTATATGTAATCACTGTAGTAATTTATGATTTTTGATGTAGTGTGTTATTTGCTGCTGATCGCTATAAGTTGAAAGTAACTGCAATTTTGACCTATAAATGCCATTGGACCATTTCTTCAATATTTTTTGTAAGGGCTTAGAGGGAAGTTTGATATGATGCTAGGGATTTTTCTGAAACTGTCATAGTAAAGTACTGAGAAGGCTTAAGGTTTTTATAGAATTCTATGGGAAAAAAATTAGTGGTCTTTTCCGTATAACTGCTTCAACAAGTCCCATGTTTGATCTAAGTCACGTACTTGTTTCATGAATATGCTTGCAACCAATACAAATAATCTAGGTAAGTAGAGCATTTGTTCAGAAACTGAAAGTACATACAAAATAAAACTGAAATGTGATTTTGTTCCAGGGGAAAAATCATCCTCCATGTGGGCAACCTGTGGTCCGTTTTACAAAAAAAACTTACGACTAAGACCAAAAACTTCAGATGATTGAAAATTTTTCTAAACTTAAGTTTTCTGATAAAAATTGACAATGTTAAAAATATTTTACTTCATTCATTTTTAAAAGATGAAAGCCATTTTTGATATATTGAAAGTTCTAAACAGAATTAATCTTCATTGTAAGTTCTTATTTAATATCTAATCGCCCACAGCAAATTTTATCTGCTTTTGTAAGTGCGCGAGTGGTTATCCATAACCCTGCCTATGATGCAACAAGTAAGAAAGTTTGATGAGCATAGACCAGAAATTGTTCAAAATATGCCTCTTAATCATTTTGAAAAAGAATGACCACAATATTTATAAAGTAAGTCATCTTGACCTACTTTTGAGTCAACATGATATGAGGTCCTTAGATGCATCAACTGACAAATAGCCTTTATAGTATACAAAATATCAACATTTTAATAAAATTAATGTAATTGCTGGACACCTTTGAAGTGAAGTGACCTTGAGAGCATGCTGTTTGCCCGAGGGTAATTCCCCATGATTTTAATCTACAACATTGGTTCTTGAGAAGAGATTTTTTTAGCAACCAATACTTTTGTTTAATTTTTTCTAATTATCTCCCCCTGCTTAAGGGTCACGACCAAGTGTTTTTTTTATAGATTGAAGCTCTTAAGCCAAGGATATGTCGTAACAAAATTGTCAATAATCGTCTAAGGGGACCTTGAGTAATGATCTGTATTCTAAAAAGTTTATGCACACTAAACAATGCATGCCGCACACCGAACAAATGGCAATAGTATCAGCACTTTGAGCCTTTAAATCAGAAGAGCTAAATATTAGGCCCCAAGACCATAAACTGAGAATAGACTAAAGTAAAAAATTTCAATCCAATATAACTTTTGAAGTAATTGTGATAATGAAACCAAATTTTCATCATAAATTGGAAATAATATTTTATACAAAACTGCAGATTTTTAAGCAAATTTGTTAAACAAAACTCAAGATATTAAAAATCAAAATTTAGACTTAAAGTCTGTTCTCAGTTTATGGTCTTGGGGCCAGATATTTTACAAGTGTTTTACCTTTGTATGTCCACACGGAGAAGATTGATCCTTCTTGTTTATCTTTCTCTTGATCGACAACATCCTCAAACGTCTTAGTCATGTCCAACACAAGGATGAAGAAGGCCTTTGGTGTTACGTAAATTTGGTGACAGGCATAATATGCTAACTGGCCAGCAAAATCAAGCATGCTTACTGTTGGTAACTTCTCTTTTTCAGACAAGATTTTCTGAAATATTTCCTCTTTCACCATAGTTGGAGCTTCTGAGGAGATAAGACTGGCCATTACCTCTACTGAGTTCTCTTCTTCTGTGTCCTCCGTGGGTGAACTAGACATTTCCACATTCTCTTCTTTCTTTTCCTCTCGGTTATAAACTACTTCAGTGCTTTTATCAGTACTTCCTTCATCCAAATCTTCTTTTTTATTTGCATCAGAGCTGGCAACGGCACTACTGCTTGGGTCTGGTTTCAAATCTGTAGCATTTATTCTGATAAATGACTTGAATGGTGAGTCATCATCAGCCACTGAAAAAGAGGAATTTTGTTATTTAGTTCTGTTTTCATTTAGCACATCATACAGTAATTATTTAGGCAAAAAAATTATAACTTGGTACTCAGTCCTGTTTTTTTAAAGAATATTAAATGCATGAGGGAAATTTTTTTTCTTTTTATCTCATGAAAAACAGATGCGGGATTTTTTTTTTTCTGAAAGATAAAATTTCAAAACTAAATTTTTAGTCCACAGAGTTTTAGCATCGAGTGTAGATTTAAAAATAATCTATTTCCTGCTTTTTTCTCTTTTCTGTTGTATCTTCTACATCTACATCCTGATAATTCATATAATGAAATGATGTCATCCTAAAAACGAGATGTGTTAAACTTACAGAACCCAACGGTGAAGCTGGTCTATTGCTTACGTAACACAACTAATATGAGTGTTTCAGCACTATAAATAGTGCTTATGAATATATTAAACTTTGTCTAATCCCTCAGTCTTTGGTTTACCCACACTACATGAAATCTGAGAATCTTGCTGACGTCCGAGTTCTGAGGTTGAGGGAGCCATCTTGCATCGCGTTATTGATCAAGTTCTAGCCTGGAAAACCTTCAGAAACCCTACCTTGTACCGTGGAAGTGCATTTCCTCATGAATCTGCACTTTAATCAATGCCATCATAACTTATCTTAATCTTGATGCTTTATCCTGTGTACTTGACGGCCATATTTGCGTTTTTAACTAATCCGAAAAATTTGGATCATCTTGATGTTTGTCGAACGCTTGACTGATTTCTAAAATGCAGTCAAAATGCAGTCAGGAATTCTTGGGGGGTTTTGGGGGGTAATTTACGAGCGCATGAGAGAAATTTTATTTTATTATTTGAGGATATAAAAAGGTAATGCGCATTGTTTAATGAAATGCCGGTGGCCCGTGTGTTGAAGTTCCAAGTTGCACATGGAATTTCCGAATGAATGATTCGGAAATCTTCATTCGGAACTTCCGAATGCTCATTCGGAGTATTGGAACAAATTTCCGAATGGATTCCGTATAGTTCCGAATGAATGTTCCTGAAAGAAAGTTCCGAATGACTTCCAAGTTGCTTCCAAATGACTTCCGAGTTGCTTCCAAATGATTTCCGAGTTGCTTCCAAATGACTTCCGAATGCTCAAATGAATGCAATTGGACAATTTTCATTGGCTTAGACTTACACACATTTCCGAATTACTTCCGAATGCTTTCCGAATAAATTTTAAAATAATAAATAAGGCTTTTTTTAACAAAAATTACTTTTTTATTTATAATTAAAATTTAAACGAAACATACTGAAAATATACAATATTAAAAATATAGATTATTTGGCTTCAACATGATTCTTTTTCTAAATTGAATACACATGAACAATATATAACAAACAAGACCTCCATGGGCCATGTCACCCACCTGAGTGTAAAAACTTAAAAGCTATTTAAAATCAATTTAATAACTAAATTGTACTTTAAATTAACTGAGGAATTGTGATGTTAAACATCCGTTAAAAAGGGGTGTGGTCCTTCAGGTAAACAAATTTAAATTTCCATTTCCAAAATAATGAAGGATGCTTTGTCACAAATTTAGATTTAAAAATAAGTCATAAATGTGACAAGTTTACAGTCAAAATCCAGAATACAGAAGGGCAAACAGACATCAACACTTAGATCAGACTCTTTGGCTTACGTGAGCCAAAACAATTCCCTTTAAAAAATTTTTTTCCTGATTTTCTAATTCTTATTGTTTAGTATTTCAACAATAATTTCTAATATGTAATCTCTACTGGCCAGTGACAATTTTAATCCTACTTCTAAAAAATCCACAAGAATGAAGATTATGTTCACCGTTCTTGGAGGTCACATGTATGGTAAGGTAATAGTTTCCACATCTGGGACACAATTGACACCAAAAATTATTTTCACACTCCATAATTTGCAAGACACTTATTGATGAAATTCCTCAAATCATTTTTTATAGAAAATCCTTCAACTTGCATGTCCTTGAACTCCCTAAAAATTGCGATCACTGAAAACGTTCACTAAAATAAACACAAATAAAGGTCCAATTGAAGTATCCTCGAACAATGTAATTACGGTATAAATTATATTTCAAAATATGCAAAGAAATCATCCCATTGCTGTATGCCTCAGTAATGGCCAATGACCCAGCTCTAATCGGACATCCCAGGGGCTGAAGGCTTGACGATGTCAGCCAAAACTATATTTATATCTGTTATCAGTCTCCCTGGGTATTTCTCCATTATGATATCTGAAAAATAATATAAGAAGTAGTAAATTTTTGCTTTTCTTTTTTTTTTCCCTTTTTAAACTTGATAAAAATAAAGAAAAAAAGTCATTTTAAAATCATTACTGATCCATTAGTCAAAACAAGATGTGTTTGTGAAACACTATGTGCCCGGCGTCAACAAAGTTCGAAAAAGCTATTTTTACTATGTAAGTCACAGTCAAGGTCACAAGGTCATTGACATTGGAGTTGTTTGTAAGAACTAATATCATATATTTGGTGATATGAAGTCCCTATCTCTTATGATTCAAAAGTTATGGCAAAAAGTGGAAAAAGCTATTTTTAACATATATCATAGGTCACAGTCAAGGTCACAAGGTCATTGACCTTGATGTTATTTGAAAGGACTTTATTAGTGGAGTATGCATACTAAATATTAAGTTTCTGTCTTTTATGGTTCAAAAGTTATGACAAACAGTTGAAAAAGCTATTTTTAGCATATAGGTCACAGTCAAGGTCACAAGGTCATTGACCTTCATGGCATTTGAAAGACCTTTATTAGAGAAGTATGCATACCAAATATAAGGTCCCTATCTCCTATGGTTGAAAAGTTATGTCAAAAAGTGGAAAAAGCTATTTTTTGCATATACCGTAGGTCACGGTCAAGGTCACAACGTCATTGACCTTGATGTCATTTGAAGGAACTTTATTAGTGGAGTATGCATACTAAATATGAAGCTTCTATCTCTTATGGTTTAAAAGTTTTGACAAACAGTTGAAAAAGCTATTTTTAGCATATAGGTCACAGTCAAGGTTAAAAGGTCATTGACCATTATGGCATTTGAAAGACCTTTATTAGAGGAGAATGCACATCAAATATGAAGTCTCCATCTCTTACAGTTCAAGTTTTGGCGAAGGTTTAAGTTGACAACAGACAGACAGACAAACAAACAGGACAAAAACAATATGCGCCCAGAAAAAATTCGGGCGCATAAAAAAAGGATCAATTGTACCAACTAATTAGAGATGTTAAGTTGTCAAGTTGTCATGAGTTTTAAATTCAGCTACAAAATCATGATAATTGTAAATTATTGATTTTAATTTAATAGGAATGGTCATTAAACTTGGGTTAACAAACTATTTTCCTTAATGTTTGAAAGTAAGATAAGTGTTTTAACAAAGCTTTACTTTTTAAATTCTTAAATCTTAACACTTACTTACCATAAAGGACCTTGAGCTTATGTTGGTCGTCCAGAGGGGGACGCACCTTCCCATTTTTCTTGCTGGCTCCATGATGGCCCGTTATGGAATGTCCTTTTAATTCTTCAAACGTGAACATTCTTCTGAGGAGCCATTTTGCGTCCCCTTTCCAGCCCTTACCTGGAAGGTCATGAACCAGTTGAGCCTGTCAGATAAAACATGGTAATCAGAGATCACAGAGTTCACCTTACTTGATTTTTATCTTGAAGTTCTGTAAGCAAGTTTAGTAATGTGCATCCTTTGACATGTCATCCAAGAAAGTTTGGTAAATATAGAGCTTATGTGACCTTGAAATGAGATCTGCTCCAAAAGCTTTAAACTTGGGATACCAAATGCTGAGGATAAATTTAATCCAATTACCCCTCAACTTTGATGAGATGTGCTAAAAGTGTATTAAATTATTGCACTATACTTGAAATAGAGAAATACTGGATTAACTGAAAATCTTGCCACCTGTTACTTACCTTCGTAAATCCATTGTATAAGGACTCCACTTGATGCTGATCCTCTTGTGCTGCGTCATGTGATATGGGAGGTCTCCCACTCTGTGTAACAATAAAAATCTTAATATTTTCTTTTTTAGAAACAATATCATTAAACCAATAATTCATAACATGCACATCTTTTGAATGAAATAAACATTGCAAGTTCTTGAACACTTATTGTAAAATAAACTTGTTTAAAGTGTATCTGAAATGATAAACCAAATTACTAAGACATAATACACCTAAAGGCTTGTACATACCAGAAGTGGCCCACTGACATTATGTTGCTGCTGCTGTTGGAACACAAATTGCTCTACCTGCAAAATTAAATGTGCAAATAAAACAATTCAAATTCAGATTTATCATATAATCCTTGCCTAGAAATAAAAAAAAATATTTGAAAATTAAAATATTAACATACCTGATATAGTCTTGTGTTTAATGAGTAACAGTTTTGCTGCACTTCATACATCTGACGTTGTAGATTTTCATTTGCCAGACGCAACTGTTCACAATTTTGACATGGAGTTGGATAATGTGGGGTTGGTCTGGCGAAATATGGAGGCCCATCCATGTCTACAGCCATAGACACAGCTTCCCCGAGCAGAGTTCTTGTACTGGCTGGTGATGGTGCTGATATGTCTGAGTATGAGGGTGTATAAGGTTGTGAAAATGTCGTATGAATTGAGGATGCAGGTGATGTAGATGTCTCATATTGCGAAGTGGATGAAGTCTGTGTGGATGTAATTTTTTCGGATGGGGCCTGTGGAGTTGGGAGTGAAGTGCCTGATGATGATCCAGTAGATGTTGATGGTGTTAAGGGAGTGGAATTCTTTTCTGTTGGACTTTGTGATGATGATGATCGAGGAAAAGTTGATGATTTTAAAGGAGTGGAATTCTTTTCTGTTGGACTTTGTGATGATGATGATCGAGGAAAAGTTGATGGTGTTAAAGGAGTGGAATTCTTTTCTGTTGGACTTTGTGATGATGATGATCCAGGAAAAGTTGATGGTGTTAAGGGAGTGGAATTCTTTTCTGTTGGACTCTGTGATGATGATGATCCAGGAAAAGTTGATGGTGTTAAGGGAGTGGAATTCTTTTCTGTTGGACTCTGTGATGATGATGATCCAGGAAAAGTTGATGGTGTTAAGGGAGTGGAATTCTTTTCTGTTGGACTCTGTGATGATGATGATCCAGGAAAAGTTGATGGTGTAAAGGGAGTAGACACTGACATGATAGTCTTTTGAACACTTGGCCCTGGCTGATCAGGCAGCTCCATTCTCGATGCCATTAGCATGTCTGCAACATGTGCAAGTTCTTTGTTCTGAAAAATTTTACACATATTACAACTGTCTTTATTCACAAATTATTTTCCTAGAAAACTTCCAGTCAGAGGGTCCATTGTTAAAGATATTTCAAAGGAAAATGACACCACTGTACCAAATACTAAAGCAAAACAGTATTATTTTAGGTTCTAAAGTTGAAGAAACAAGTTACTTACATGTACAATCTCCTTTTCTTTCTCAATCTTCTTCTTTTTCTTTGCATTGCCCTGTAATTTAATTCAGAATGAAAATGGAATTTACTACACAAACTAAACCAAAACAATTTAAAGCCAAATTACAGTATGCATTAAAAATAAAATATGTGCAGGACAAATATCATGTGATGTCCTTTAAGCCATTGAATATTTCCAAATCTAACATCCTACATAATATGGGTACATCCCACTAATTATTTTTAGAATCGGTAGGAGAAGAAAGTAGTGCAGAAAAAATTCCAAGTTCCTTAATTTGCAGACTTGCATAAAAAAAATTGGGCAGATGTACTAAACTGAGCCTCACACTTGTTGATAAGGAGTATCTTTCCTACCAAAAAAGCTTGGAAAATGTAATTTATCAAGAAGATCAGCCGAATTATTTTGTGTATTATAACGCCAGTTACAATTCTGAAATTCCCCTACTTTCACTTTCATTTTTAGAGGTTCCCGCAGACAGACGCATTTTGCCGGAAAACGAATCTGACATGCCACCTCGAGATTTTAACCAAGGAAAGACAAGTTGATGTGCTTTGATTTGAGGGGTCACTCACTTCTGAACGAAAATTAGGGACATCGCTATGAGAGGAAACGTTAACATTGTCGCCTATGGGATAACAATTAGTGGACTGTACCCATATTAGAAAGCCTATAAGTAAGTGAAAGATGTCATAAATCTTGAATTTATTTCAAAATTGGTGTTTTCTATTATTTTCAATTGTTCAAATTTATGAAAAAAAACAATTCTTGAATTGTTGATACACATTTTTAAACAAATTGATTCATAAATAAAGTGTCTAGACCCCCCCCCCCCCGGAACAGACAACATGCTCATACATGTATCACCCATTGTTTACACATGTATCATGTAGATTAAATGTGTCGATTTATAAAATTTATTTATTCAGAATCATAAATGTATAATTTGATTAAGAAGTAGAATTAATATGCTCCACTGTGGTATATTTTCAATACACAAAAATTCACAAATGTGTTCGGGATCGGTATTCAATCGGGGTCAAGGTCGAAGTGAAAGTAGACTTAGCAGAAAGTTGTCAAAACTGTTCAGTGCATTGTTTAGCAGTATATAGGTGATGGGAATTTGTATGTTACACAGGAGGCAAGAGGTATACCTTAGTACAATATTTGTAAATAACAATTTAATGTTTTTTGGAACATGTCGATGATCGGCACGTCACATACATGACATACATAATTTCAGATCAATTGCGCGGTGAAGCTGGTTACAGTTGTCTGGGAGTTAAACGATGTGTGTGAACATGCACATTAACTGGTTTCTCTCATATTTTTTAGCAATTGCATTACATGTATTTGTTGAATGTACAATTATTGTCAGTAAAACATGATTTTTACCTATTCTGTTGAATTAACTTAATTACCTATATATGTTAACAGTGTGATTTCAGGTGGAAGCCAATAAACCATTTTTTAAATTAATTAATTTCAAGTAATGGGCATAAAAGGAATATGGTAAAATTGTACTTGTTGAATGTCTGTGTTTCTCTCTGTCTGCAAATGTAATATTGTACCATTTATTGTGTTGATTTTTTTTTTAGGTTCATGGTGATTGGTTCAGGAAAAACATGAGGTCCATGCAGATGGTGTTTAAAACTATTGGCTAGCAAATGCACGCCCATTTGAATACATCTTGAAGCAGCACCAGCAAAGTGTGACAGTCGGCAAAATGTGTAAGTTAAAGTTTTCTAAAAAAAAAATTCATTGAAGTGGGGGATGGGGTGGGGTGAGGAAATTTACATATTAAATAGGTGATCAGAATGTGAAAGTATTTAGCTATAACTAATCTGTACATGCACTGCTATATACATTTTGCAGCTCATATACATTTTTTTTTTATTTAAGAATTTCAAATTAATTAGATCTACATCTTTGTTTTGTAAATTATGCATTATTAAGATTACACGGATATAAGAATTGAAATTTCATGAATATTTGACAGTGAAAATTATGCGATTTGTCAGGAAATTCAAAATTTTGTCTCATTTTCCTACAAATTACAAAATGGTTACCATGGAAACAAAACAACTTTAGTCGATTATTTATTTAATCTTCAAAACCACATATTTTCATTTTTTTAAAGTTAATACTAGTATATAAGCACTGATTTCGTCTTAAATAAAAAGTACGGGAAAAGTAATGATACACTTGTTTTGAGGTATCCATTATTATGATGTCATTGTGACGTCATAGATGAGTTAATTTGCATTGGTATAAAAATTCCTTTGAAACAAATGATTCTATGTAGGATTATAAAGGCTTATAACTTTTTTATTCATAGACCAAATTTCATGAATGATACTTCAATGGACAGGAAATAATCAGTACTTTTTTATTTTACTACTTTCGGGGTATTTGTTAACTTCATTTTTTTGTCATTTCTGGAGAAACTATGAATTAGAGGGTGAAAAGTGGTCACGTTTTGTGCGGAAATACATTAATTTTTTAAAATAAGTGAAATTGACCCAATTAAGTGCTTGATTATGATTTGACTATATGTATTTAAAGTTATGAAGGTGATTAAGAATGATATAAATGTGTTAAAAGGCTAAAATTTGACTTAAAACTTGGGTGCAGTTTTGGCTAGATTGGAGCATTTTTTTAGGATATTATACATAGAACTGTAAATGCTGTAAAATCTTAATTAATTGTTGAATTTTCATGAAACTTGGCATGATGTCTCTACTTATGCTCTAGATTGACAAACAGTGTGAAATATTGTAAAATCAAAAAAATGCTTTTCCATATTGGGTACATCCCACTAATTATTTTTAGAATCGGTAGGAGAAGAAAGTAGTGCAGAAAAAATTCCAAGTTCCTTAATTTGCAGACTTGCATAAAAAAAATTGGGCAGATGTACTAAACTGAGCCTCACACTTGTTGATAAGGAGTATCTTTCCTACCAAAAAAGCTTGGAAAATGTAATTTATCAAGAAGATCAGCCGAATTATTTTGTGTATTATAACGCCAGTTACAATTCTGAAATTCCCCTACTTTCACTTTCATTTTTAGAGGTTCCCGCAGACAGACGCATTTTGCCGGAAAACGAATCTGACATGCCACCTCGAGATTTTAACCAAGGAAAGACAAGTTGATGTGCTTTGATTTGAGGGGTCACTCACTTCTGAACGAAAATTAGGGACATCGCTATGAGAGGAAACGTTAACATTGTCGCCTATGGGATAACAATTAGTGGACTGTACCCATATAATATTTGATATAATAAACAATTCATAAAAAATAAGTCTGATTAGGTCATAATAAATAAATTGCTAGATTCTCATCCAAATTTTTTTGAAAATCGAGGCTTGCATGTGGCTTTTACAGGGGATGACAAATCCCATTGCCCGACGCCGGGGCTAGTGAATTTTAGGGGTGGGCAAGTGAAATTTTATCAACCAATTGCCCGTGGGCAAGTGACTTATCAAAAGTAGAATTTATTTGTAGGCCATAAATTTAAAGATCGGCATACGGGCTTGTTTTTGTCTTTCTCTTTTTGAAAAAAAATATCTATAAATACAGAATTAGTTTATGGTAGGACAAGCAAACATTCAGGTAGGGAAAGTCAATTTTGACGATCTACTTGCCCTTGGACAAGTGGCTTAAAAATCTATTTGTCAGCCCCTACTTTTATTTTTTAATTCTAATTTTTTTTTCAATTTTGCAGATTTTTTTATTGACCTAGTCAATCAGTGTAATTTTATCTACAATACCCAAACAAAAGTCATAGTAAAGGTTCAATTATTTCTTACTTTAATTACATCATCACCAATCTTTTTCAACCAATGACCCTTGTTTAAAATATATGCATGTATTACAGCAATTACCGGTACAATCTTTTCAGCTGTCAAAATCACATCGACTTTTGCTAGATTTAAAACGAAAGTGGAATGAGAGATGAATACCGATCCCATTCAGAATTAAGACGAAGAAAAACAGAAATTTAAAAAATCGAGGGGGAGTTATAAAATCGGGGCAGGCTGGGATGAGAATCTAGGAATATTTTTATTATGGCCTTATCTCGATTCATAAATCATTAATTCACTTACTGGTGTAACATCTGAATTTTCGGATAGCTTTTCTTTCTTTGACCGATTCTTCTGAAAAAAAAAGATACTATTAAAATAAAAACAGCTTTTCCATTTACGAACTTTTCATGGAAAATACAATTCAATTTACTTTACAACAGTCATCATGAGTCATGTAAAATTTTTTCCAGTTCTTACCTTTTCAGTGTCCTTAGCTTTGATGGGACCTTTTCCCTTTTTTGCTACTTGTTTTTCAGGGTCATCGTCCTACCCCATAAGTAAAATAACCAAATTATACATGTAGAATTAATTAGCTATTTAAAAAAAAAGTGGGGCTTGACTTGGGCATTACATCCCATTATTTACAAAACTAGAAATGTTTCATGTCCATAGGACATGAATGCCTCACTGAGTGTATATTATTATAAGAACATGAAAATTTGTATCAGACCAAAATAAATTATAGGTTGATTGGATTTGTCTCCTGCCTCAATGAAATGCACCCTTCTAAAAAAAGATTATTGACCAAAAGAATGAAGATTT